GAAATAATTAAATATGAACTTCCTTGTTTTCCTCTCCTCCATCAGAATACATGTTAACCTATTAGAATATGTTGGTATTGGTTCCTATTTTAAATTTCTTCTTCAATGAAGAGAGCTGACTTTTCTCATTCTGTGCCTGCAGTCATATCTGACACCTTACATATCTGTTACCTTTACTCCTGGGTTCCTTCTCTAAATTTTCTAAATCCTGGGGGCAGCCTTCATTGATCTTGCTCCCTTTTTTAACTACTTGCCTGTTTATATTTTCTCTTCCACTGCTGAATTTTCAGAATAAATGCTCCACATACACTGCTTCTGTTCCTTCACTATCCACTGTTATTAAATGCCTCAAAATCTAACTCCCTGTATTATTTCTATATTCTCCCATGTTAACAGTGACCTCCCAATTTCCATAGCCAATTGATTTTTTTCTCTACCCATTTTCTTTGACTTTAGTGCTACCATTGAGCTGTTTGTTCACCCTTTTCTGCTCCATGGTTTCTCTTCCATTGACCTATGTTCGATGCTTCTTTGCTGTGTCTTCTTTGGGGTCTGCAAACTTTTCTTAAAAGGTTGACCAGATAGTAAATATTTCAGGCTTTGTGGACCAAAAGGCAGTACTGAGGATATTATGTGGATACTTGTATGACCATTTTAAAATGAAAAAACCATCCTTAGCTTCCAGGCCACTAAAAAACAGACAGGTGGCCGGATTTGGCTTCTGCTCCAGGGCATAATTTGCTGACCTCTGGTATAAAGCTGTTGGGTGACCAGGAGGCTGATACTGCTATTCAGTAAGACCAGAGGATGTCAAGTAGATTTTCTTTGGTAGAGAAAAGAGGAAAATGGTGGTGTGCTGGTAGGAAATCCAAATGAAATTTCTAAGCAAACAGTTTATATAATGAAAGAAGTAACTACCTTTATTAAATGTTTACCATTTTCCAAAAATTGTGCAAAACGTTTTATCTGTGGTATTCATTTAAACAGCACTGTAGACCTGAAAAGCAAATATTAATATCTCATTTTACAGATGAGGAGAAGTGAGCTCAGGGAAGTTCATTCATTGCCCAGGCTTGTACTAGTAAGTACTGAGCAGATCCTAACCTAAACTCTATCAGACTTCAAAGCTTGCTCTTGCCATTGTGGTGTTCCACTGCCACGGTGAAAAAGGCTATCATATGTTGTAGATGGAACTTTCACCTGATGTTAAATGTAGTATTTTGTTTCTTCAGTAAAGAAATTGCCTGTGGTAGGTTTTTTGTTTTTCACAGTAAAAAATCTTAGCCATCGGTTCATAGTTTCCTCTGACTAGCCCTCTGAGCCAGCTTGAACTTTTAGAGCTACAAATTATTAATAGACATTAAGTTTGAAATTTGTCATAGATAATAACGTTCAGAATGAAATACTAATAGGAAATTATTGATATATTACTATCACTTATATCACAAATGTGTATTAATTTCTGGGGAACGTACTTTAAAGACGATTAATTGTTGGCCCTTTTTAAATAAACTGATATCACTGAAAGTTGTCTATGTAAAGTCGTTCGATAGCACAGTCTTAGTTAACTTCCAAGAGCTTACAGGTACTTCACAATTCAGACAGATCTCCTTAGATGCTCTTCTGGGAAAAGGAACTGTGATTTTGCACTTTAAATGCAGTGTTAAAGAAGCAGCTGCACTTTAGTGGTTTAGACTGAACGAATAAGAAGGCTAGTCCATGAATTAATTGAAAAACAAAAGAAGCAGTGTTGTAGAGGAAGGTCTTGAAAGGGTGATCTGGTCCTGAAATGGGAAAAAAGGTGAAGTGATTGTGAAGACATTCTTGGTGGTGGGAGGAATAGTTGTGATGAAAATTCGTATTTGGGGGACAGCATTTGGAATAGGGCACATTGGAAGGAAAGAGTTGGATGTAAGGATGTACTCATAACTGAGATCATATGTAGTAAATCATAAGTGCCATTTGAAGTTCAAACTTTTTTTTTCTGTAGGCCAGTATTTTTTAAAGAGGGTAAAATATATTAAGTGGCACACAGACAAGTGTTTTTAATTTTTATCATTATATATTTATATTAGTGTGAATCAAAAAAATATAGCTAGCACATCAAATTTGGAACTTTATGGATATTGCTTAAGAGATAACTAAAATGTATTTGAGTGAGAAAAGGACTGTTGTTTAAAAAAAAGATTTGATAATAGTTGCTGATGACATTATTTACTAAGCACTGTTAGAATGTTTTCTGTATATTAACGCATTTATTCCTCAAATGAACTCAATGAGATAGTGGATACTATTATATTTACCTGATAGGTGAGGCAATAAAGGTACAGAGAGGTTAAGTAACTTTTTCACAGCTAATAACTGGTGCATTCAAATCCAGGCCAGCTGACTCCAGAACCTGTGTTCTCAACTGCTGTACCTTAAGACACAGTGTTAATGTACAACTGTAGCAAAAATTGTGAGGACTGTAGGCAAATGGCTTAAGTTTATGAAATGCAGCTTTAGTAGAGAGGAACTGTTGAAAATTTTTGGAGTAATGTTATAAATGTACTGTTTGATATAAATGGAAGTGATAGGGATATTCAGAATGTATTCTTTAAGTGAGTTGAGGGATTTGGGATTAAGTTTAGGGACACCAGTTATTAATTGATTGTCTCAACCTAGGTTTGGAGAAAAGCACTTGAACCAAGGTTTTTTAGGTGAAATGGAGAAAAAGGAGCTAGGACATAAGAACCATTGAACAGAAAGAATGGAAAGTAAAAAAGGACTTAAATGTGGGGACTTAGTGAAGAGTCAAAGATATGTGGTTTCCAGCTTAAGGGCAGGATAATACCATTAGATAGAGAATCAAGAAAGGGACTTAAATGGCAGATGAATTTTGTTATAAAAATATAATTTTTAAAAGGAGGCTGAAAATCTAAAAATGTTTGGTGGGCAGTTAGTGGTTATGAAAGCTTAGTATGGTGATTAGGGCTGGGGATATATATTTAAAAGTTACCTACTTCGAGGTGAGTGTTATGTGTAATGAGTAATAATGATGTAGGCCAGGGGTCTGCAAACTTTCTTAAGGGGCCAGATAGTAAATATTTTAGGTTTTTTAAACTAAGAGGCAAAATCCAATATAAATAGGTAAAAAAAAACATTTTTAGCTCACATACCATAAAACAAACAAACAAAACAGGCAACAGGGCCAGCTTTGCCTAAAAGGCTATAGTTTGCCAGTCCTTGACATAAGCTTCTTAAATATGTTGACTGTTTATCATAAACATTCTTTTTCTATTGAAATTTGGAGATATTCCATCAGTTATTTCATTAATTCAGAAAAGTTGAGAAGTTTCATATGTTATCTTTCTGGACAGGATCAATCTCTTGAGAGAAATGTTTAAAAAATGAAATTCGCTTTTAAGTAGATGTTAAAAATTGCCAGAAATTAATCTAGAAATCAACCCTACTTCTTAAAAACATTTCAAAACTGGAGTTGGTAATTTAGCTGTGAATTTGAGAAGCTTCATAGTCAAGGAAAGTTAGCTCAGTAAGCTCCTTTAAAACTATTTTCTGTGTTAGATTTTGACACTGATACAAGTCTGGAAATGATTTACTTGATCTTAGATTATTCTTTGGGTCGCAGAAAATTTTACAGAATATAAGCAGTTTTGGCTCATACCCAGTGAAGGAACACCTTTTATTTGCTATGCCAGGGCTATGTTCTATTTCTTCTCCAGGATGTTTGGGCCCTGAAAATTGGAAGTTGATTTTATTTTTTTTTACTTCTGCTAACTTCTTAAGGCTCAGATTAATGCTGCTGTTTGTTAATTGCATCTTGATCTCTTGGGTTTATCTGCCTGTTGAAGGAGACAATACCAATTATCACTTCCTTTCAAAAAAGTAAATTAAATTTTGTTATTTTGGGGTTTCTTAAAAGTCAGTGCACAAAGGGTAATATCTTTAAGAGAATTCTTGACCAGAATGGTTGATATGGTTAGAAAAAGCATTTAAGATTTATTTTCATCACTGTTAAGTAATATTTTAGCTTCTGGTAGTATAAGATATCTGATGCTTTGTGAGTTGTTGAATATAACCAAATTAACCAAAGTTAAATACATATACTATCTAAAAGTAATTCTTCGGAGATTTTCTAATTGACCCTTTTATCACACTTTTTCATTCCTTATCTAAATATTCTCTTGAGTTGAAATTTATTTTGTGTTCACAGTCCTACCAAAGGACTTCAGTAAAGATTTGTCAGTGCTGCTTTTTATGAATTGAATCTCTCTCCATTGTAAAGTGTTTTTTGTAAAAGGAAGAAAAAAGTAAGCTTTTAAAACATGGTAATAGTGAAAATTTATTCATAGAGGATATGATATCAGTTGTCAGTATGTAATTAGAAAGTTGTTTTAAGTCAGGTGAGTAGTAACTCTATTATTTATTCCAGATAGCATTTAATCTGGCATTATCGAATATATTACTGAAAATTTTGTGTAGAAGTATGTCTAAAATATAAAGGACCTGTGTCTAAGCACCACGGAATTAGTTACTTTAATGAAGAAAATAATAAATTGATAATTTCATAACTTGCCATATTCATTTGAAAAATTTACGTTCTGCTGAATATTTATCTATTTATTTATTTTTTAATTTTTTTTAATTTTTTTTTTTTGCGGTACGCGGGCCTCTCACTGTTGTGGCCTCTCCCATTGCAGAGCACAGGCTCTGGACGTGCAGGCTCAGCGGCCATGGCTCACGGGCCCAGCCGCTCTGCAGCATGTGGGATCCTCCCGGACCGGGGCACGAACCCGTGTCCCCTGCATCGGCAGGCGGACTCTCAACCACTGCACCACCAGGGAAGCCCTGTATTTATTTTTTAAATATGTTAAAATTTAATTGGCACCTGATGAAACATGTAGAGCATCAGTACTCCACCCTCTACCATGATGCCTGGTTAACACTCCAAATGATAAATGCACTTGTAATGACAGTATATTTCTGTTCTAAATTTGCAGTTCAGAATGCAGTGATGGAGAATGGTCTGCCTCTTTGCCTCATCGATTTTCTGGTACGGAAAAAGATCAGTCCTCAAGTGATGAAAGCTGGGAGACTCTGCCAGGAAAAGATGAGAATGAACCTGAACTACAAAGTGATAGCAGTGGTCCCGAAGAGGAAAACCAAGAATTATCTCTTCAGGAAGGGTATGTTAACAGTAAGATTTGTTATTTTTATGCATACTGCACAAGAGTGTTATACATCACATTCAGATGTTGGATATGCTATTATGCATTTACACAAGCCCTATGTAGGACCAGTAGATCCTGCTGAATTTTGTTATGCTTTCGGTATTTTCCAAAGAACAATTAAATTGAAAATACTGGTAATTACAGTGTCTTGTCTTAGATACAGTATGTGTTTCCATTTTGCTTTATTGAAGAAACCTTGGACATTTAAAAGATCATTTTGGTAAGTCAGGTATGAGTGAATCAGAGCTGCCATTGCTATTCAGTGAAGATAATAGCAAGGGAGAAGGGAAGCCCTCAGAGGGAAATCAGTGATTTTTTCATGGAAATGCAGGCAGTAGGAAAAGTTGAAGTTTTAATATTTCTCTCTAATTGCATTGGATGATATCTCCAGAAATTAGTGGTTGATGATATATATCTTTGTCTTTTCCTAACTTTAATGGGAATGCTCTAGTGCAGGGCTTGTCAAATTTATATTACAAAGGGCCAAATAGTAAATATTTCCAGCTTTGTGTGTCAGTCTCTGTTGGAGCTACTCAGTTCTACTGTTATAGTGTAAAAGTAGCCATAGACAATATGTAAATGAATGGGTGTAACTGTCTTCCAACAAAATTTTATTTATAAAATTGGCAAGCTGGAAATAAGCTGTGGGCTGTAGTTTACCAGCCCTTGCTCCACTAGTATTTCCCTAGTAAGAATGATTCTGGGTTTTAGGTTGATTTCATACATGTACACACACACACATACACAATTTTTTTGGTCTTAAATCACACTAAGGAAATTTAAAAAAAAATTTTTTTTAAATTAGGGTATCGTTGCTTTACAATGTTGTGTTAGTTTCTGCTGTGCAGCAAAGTGAATCAGTTATATGTATACATATATCCCCTCTTTTTCTGGATTTTCGTCCCATTTAGGTCACCACAGAGCATTGAGTAGAGTTCCCTATGCTATACAGCAGGTTCTCATTAGTTACCTGTTTTATACATATTAGTGTATATATGTCAATCCCAATCACACTAAGAAAATTTTACCCTGTTTGTATTTTATAGGTTTCTGGCAAGAATGTTCGTTGAATTTTATTAAAGTCTTGTTAGCACCAATGGAAATGATATATGATTTTTTACTTTTCGCCTAATGATCATGAGCAATTATTCTGTTACTAGATTTCCTAATATTCAACTACCCTTACTTCTTCTATTTAATTAACCCAACATGATCACATAGTCATGGTTTATTGTTATTTTAATGAGCTACTAGATTCTGTTTGCTAATATTTTACATAGGATTTTTATATTGAGACCTGTAAGTATGAATTGTCTCTAGCTGTGTTCTGGTTGGGTTTTGTGTTTTTTTAAATTTTTTTCTTGATAAGTTTGATACTCGCTTTGCTAAAAGACTATTTATTTATTTATTTATTTATTTATTTATTTATTTATTTATATATATTTGTGTGTGTATGTATGTGTTGGTGTTTAAATAGCTATTTATTCCTTTAAAGACTGTTAGTATTTGCTTGTGAAACCTTCTAGGCTTGGTGTTTTGTTGTGAGGGAGTATTTCTTTGATAATTAAATTTTTTCTATGATAATTGGTTCTAATTTAGTCTCTCAAGGGAACTATTTTGGTAAATATGTTTTCTTAGGAAAAACCTATTTCAACTTGGACATTAAAATTTTTACTTTTCAAAAAGTATAAATTTCCAGTTTGAGATTACTTCTGTAAGAAACTCTGGAAATAAAGCTTATTAGAAAATTTATAAAGAAAGAAATGTAAGAACATAATTGGTTTTGATAGTGGTAGGTTGAGGTGGCATTTTTTTCTTCTTAACTTTATGTTTGATCATCTCTAGTCACTATTACTTAGTTTACTAAGTTTTATTAATTTTTTCATATGTAATTTGTGATAGTAACTATTCATGCAACAAATATTTATTGAGCATATAGTATGTGCCAAGCATGGTACTGGATCCTGGGATTATATCAGTGAACAAGACAAATAAGATTCTCCCATCAAGTTTACTTTATGGTGGGAGAGGCAGGTAATAAACAAGATACAAATATGATAAATTACAAACTGATAATTACTGTGAAGGGAATAAAACACTAATGTGATAAAGTAACTGACAGGGGCTTACATTAATTAGAGTGATCAGGGAGGACTTCTCTTAGGAATTGGCTTTTGAGCTGAGCTCTAAAAGATGAGAATTAGCAGTTAGTTGAAGGAGAGCTTTCTAGGCAAAAAGAAAGATGAGAGCAGAGGTACTGAAAAGGAAAGGGCTTGGCATGTAAGATGGTAGTGGGGCTGAAGCAGATGAGTGGAAAGAATAGTAATATGAGATGAAGTTGGCAGGAACCAGACTATGCAGAACATGTAGCATCTGGAATTTATTCAGAGAGCAGTGAGATTTTAAGTGGGGAATTAACTGATTTGACACACATTTTTAAAGGATCACGCTAACCGCTTTGTGGAGATCGAATTGGAAAGGGACTAAAGTAAAAAAGAGGATGAGAGTAGATTAGGCTGTGAGGGGATGGTAGTGAGAATTTTAAAAGTGAAGAGGTTTCAGAATATTTTTGAGTTATAAGTATTAGGAAGGATTATATGTGAGATGAAGGAGAAATCAGTCAGTTATGCCTAGGTTTTTTGGTTGGAACATTGGGTAGATGTTAATGTTGTTGACTGAGATGAGGAAGCCTGAGGAGAGGACTGGGAAGTAGGAACTCCTTTTTGAAATTCTAAGTGCCAGTGAGACATACATTGTAGATGGCAGGAGGCACTTGGATATTTAACTTACAAGTTTAAGGAAAGTATCCTGAATTGTAGGTAGATGTACAGGTATATGTATAAACAGAAACACATTTGAAAATCATCAGCTACTTGCATTGATATCCTACAATAATAAAACCGGTCGTTTGATTAAAAAAAAAAATAGAAGTCAAGTGGTGAGGGGGGACAGAACTAAAATGCTGGACAGCAGTAGTATTTCAGTTGATGGGGGAAGATCAGAGTTGAAGTGTATAGTTTGGAAGAGGTCTGAAAGTTAACTGTTGACATAAGTTAAATTTGTATGGTAAAATTTCAAGGGTAACAACTACAAGAATAAATACAGAGTATATGTATTGGAAACCAGTAGAAGAGGAAAAAAGGAATTTAAGACCTGGAAAAATAACATTTAAAGTCAATCCAAATAACAGTTAAAAAAAAAAGGAAGAAAAAGCATAAAAAAGGGAAGAAAAATAGAGATGAAAAAAGCAGGATGTAAGAAAAAGTCCTGTAATAAATATAAATTGCTTACTCTCTGCTTGTGAAAGAAAAGCTTCAAATCAGTTGGATTTTTTTAAAGTTAAATGCTATTTACAAAAGACACACTTAAAGCATTAATATACAGAAAGATTGAAATGGCAGAAAATGATATTTCAGGGAAACGCTAACTAAAAGAAAATGGACTAATTATACTAACATTAGCAATTTAGACTTAAAGACAGAAAAAGCATTAATGGGGAGAGTGGAGGTCACTATGTAGTAAGTCCAATTTACTATTAAAATGAAGCAGTTTTAAACTTGAATGCACAGACTTAAAATATATACATCAAAATTTAACCAAACTAGAGAATATTAACAGATTTTCTGTCATATTAGAAAATTTTTAAATACCTTTCTCAATTAATAATTCATGGATATAAAAAATTAATTGCAGATTTGAACAGCTTACTTAAGCATGCTTTAATGAACACTGCATGCTGTGGAATACACAAACACAAAAACTGAACATGTACTAGACTGCAGAGTACAGGTTAGCAGATTTCAGAGAATCAATATCCTAGAGACCTTTTCTCTGACCACAGTGCAATTAATTTAGAAATAAATAATACAAATATAAATTCTTAATATATAAATATACTTTATATAAAACCTTCCATGCATTTTAAATTATCCATCCTTTTTAAAAAGCAGTAGGACAGGGCTTCCCTGGTGGCACAGTGATTGAGAGTCTGCCTGCCGATGCAGGGGACACAGGTTCCTGCCCCGGTCCGGGAAGATCCCACATGCTGCGGAGCAGCCTTGGCTGCTGAGCCTGCACGTCCGGAGCCTGTGCTCCGCAACGGGAGAGGCCACAACAGTGAGAGGCCAGCGTACCACAAAAGAAAACAGAAAAAAAAACCTGAAAAAAAAAAAAGGCAGTAGGACAAAGAAGAAATCATACTAGAAGTTTAAAAAATGCTCACCAACTCAATGATAATGGAAATACCACCAATCAAAATCTGTGGAATTGCAATGAAATTGATATTTAAAGGGAAATTTATCTTTATAAATGCTTATGTTAGAAAAGAACAAAAGCTGAAAGTGGAGTAGCTATGTATTGAACTTAAAAAACAGAAAAGGAATATTAGAATCAACAAAGAAACTAAGGAGGTAAGAATTAGAATTAGGGAAGATAAGAACAAAATTCAATAAATCAGAAAACAATTACGATAGAGAGAATCAAAGAAATCAGAAGCTGATACTTTGAAAAGATTAAGAAAAAGAGACATTCTACTTGATAGTGAACAGGAAAATAAAGATGACACAAATAAATAATACTGAAATACAAAAGTGGACACAGCTGCAAACACAATAAAGTTTGTATAGACTTTTTAAAAAGAGTACTATGAACTTTATACCAGTAAATTTGAAAACTTAGAAGAAGTTGACAAATTCCTAGAAAAATAGAATTCACCAAAACTCACTCAAGAGGAAATAGGAAACCTAAATAATATGATAACTATTACAGATACATAATCAGTGGTTTAAATTCTTCCCATGGAGAAAACAACTGATCCAGGTGATTTTAGAGCTGAATTCTCTTAAACTAAACTTTCAAGGATCATATCACACTACCCTTCGAGAGAATGGCAAAAGAACTATTTCTCCAAGTCATTCAGATAAGACCAATATAACCCTAATACCAAAAGAGTTTGT